CCATGTTCTTTCATTCCGAAAATCTTGTCTTCATGTCCATGTGATGCCATGATTCTGCTTTCAAGATAACTGTCTCACAATCTTATCCACAAGTGATAACTTTCTCATAATCATGGTTCCAAGTAACTGTTCTCTCAAAATACGCATGTATGCTCCTGAGTGGTTTCCAACAGTTACGTTGAATCCACTACCTTGACGGTTTTTTTTTACTCCACTACGTTGGCGGTTGCTTTGACTCCACTATATTGACAGTTACTTCTTCTTTCTGCATCTCCAACCAGTCACAACCGTCGACTTCCTCTTAATGTCGAAAACTCTACAGTGATTTTCTGAGTAAACTCGAAACATAAAAGTTGTAGATCCAGGAGTCTTCGTTCTTTTGGCTTTGGAATCAGGTCAATCTGATCTGTCTCGAAGAAGTTATGACCATTTTCCCGAACTAGCGCTGAACAGCAATTTCGTCGAAGTCATCGACAAGATGAAGTCGTGACCAGTCTTGTCAATAATACCCAAAAATTGGTCATTTTTGGGTGTAAATATATACACATGACACATGTCTCTGACATGTGTCCCTTATGTTGGCAACTTGATGATATTTGCTTCCACGTTACCTCAAGTCTTCGCCATGTGTCCCTTGATGATTTTTGGCACAAACGAATCATGTCGACAAGTTGGCCATTTTTTGGTGTAAACACCAAGCAACACAGAGTGCAGTTCAGCACGGTGGTTCATAGGACCAAGAATACAATCGAGTACATCCATTCGGACTTATAGCAAGGAGACTCAGGCAGTATAGACTAATAAATGAGTCGAGAGACAGGTGGAACTTGAGGAGGAGGCTCAGTGGGTAACACGCGCAAGTAGTGATGACATCGAGCCAAGTGCCAATGAAGGCACGAGTCAACCTGGAGTATTGGCGGGGAGATCGAGCTCACAGAGACGTTGTATTCCATATTGACGAGCAAAGAACGCAGAGAGATCAGAGAACAACAAAGGTATGGTTATGCAGATTATGCTACTCATAATAGTGTTACTTATGCATTGTCTACTTAAGAGGAGACCCAGGACCCACTCTAATATCCAAATGCGGTGTTGGGTGTAAAGGCCCAATAGTAGATTGGTGCTACGGGAAAGAAGATGGAGTTACTTCTGTAGGGATGCATTGGCAATTACAAGGTGATTACAATCATACAGTGCTGAGGCAATTTAGTATTGAGAGCGCAGGACTGGTGACTACTTCGCTAGCTGCGCACTTCAAGCATTCAACCGATCTTACCCTACAGTCAAAGGAAGAGATGGAATATATGTCATGTTCCCTATGCTAGCGTTGTTGGTAGTATTATGTATGTTATAATTTGCACATGGCTAGATATTTCGCATGTTATTAGTGTTGTGAATTGGTATAAGAATAATCCTAAAAAGAAACACTGGGAAGCTATGCAATGGATTGTGAGGTTTTTGAGGGCAAATACGAATGTCGGTTTGACTTAGGGAAGAGACAGGCTTCAAGAGGTGTAATAGGTTATGTGGACTCAAAATTTTCCGGTTACTTGGATAGATAGAGGTTTTCACGGGTAGTGCTGTTAGTTAGGAAGCGCAATTAAAGTTGGTAGTTGCTTTGTTAACTACTAAAACTGACTATATGGTGTCAATCGAGGCAATCAAGAAGGCTATTTGACTCGAAGATTTGCCCAATGATCTGGGATTGCTACAAGAGAAGATTGTTATATACTGCGACAATCAAAGTGACATATATTCGATTAAAATTTGGATGTCTCGCGAGTTGAAGAAGCATATTGATGTCAGGTACCACTTTATTTGTGCTTTTGTGTGACAAGGAGCCGCCTCCATTGAGAATGTGCACTCGACGGATAATTCAGCAGATGTTGACAAGCCTATTCTATATATTGACCAAGTTCTAATACCGTTCAAACAAGGCCAGCGCCTGCCGCGGGGGAGGAACCCAGAGAGCTCGAGAGAGAGAGAGACAACGATTGATGAAAATGAAGTTGGACTTCTCGTCAAGGTGGAAACTTGTTGATTATGTCTCAAAGTTAGTCTCAATTGAGTCAAAGTCCGACTCACAATTGAATTGTAAAGAAATCCCGTCCATATCAGGAATGTTTGAATTTAACTTTTGCTGACATGATTGGAGTGATGCAAAAAAAGGAGATTTAATTTCTTACAACACTTTTTCCTTAGTGAAGTTAAAGTCCGTGTGGACGTCAAAAGAGGGCTTTTTGCATAATAATATTATGTTATAGAGTTTGGTCTCTAGTATATAGTGAGTGCGCTTAATATATGTACAACATATGTAAAATTTACGAGAGAAGCAGAAGTGTTGAGAGACGTCATTCAAGAGAGTTGAGAGTGTAAGAAAACTCCATTTTGATGATTGATTCTCGTGATTCGGATTTGATCTAAGATTAGAAAGCAATTGTGAGTAAGTGTGATTGAGTAATTATAATATCATCTTTACCGAGTGGAACTATCTCATTACTCTTTTTTGAATTACGTCCGCGGCAACTTCCATCAACGGACCGTATTCCATTATCAAACAAAAGAAGACATCCATGCGGTGTTAACCAAATAGTAGACAGAAACATGACTCTTTATGCATTGCATAAAGAGTCATGTTTCTGTCTACTATTTGGTTAACACCGCATGGATGTCTTCTTTTGTTTGATAATGGAATACGGTCCGTTGATGGCTCTCTTTTAATTGAGCAGGAAGTTGCCGCGGACGTAATTCAAAAGATGGAGTAAACACACTGCCGAATCTCGTAAATCTGATGTGTTCAAGTTTTATTTATGCAATTTATTTCTTGCTCAAATCGTTTCTATTATTCATGCTTCCCTATTAGTCATAACGTCATGAATGCTTGGATTATCTTATCTCGGCATGAGTTTTTACTAAAGTTCAGCAAATGAGCCACATTTAATTATTGTGTTAGTGTCCTAATACTTTATAGTTCATTCGCAACAACCAAGACAACTGGATCTAATTCCTAATCTTAATTAAAATACAATTAATGAATACTCAAGTGAGGAGTTTAAAAAGTACAATTGATTGGTACGAGATCCTTGACCGTTCAAAGTACCTTCCGCGTCAGTAACCATGCATGCAAGATCACAGCAGTAAACAAATCTAGTCAGTCGTACAATTCAATATAAAACATATCTAGTTCTGATCATCTCAATCTTAAGTCGCGACGTACTAAAAAAAAATTTGAGCCATTCTTTTTTCCTAGTGTGAAGATGGAAATGGCAAAGGAAGAAAACAGAACGAGAGGAATAAATAAGTGAAAGTGTCCTTCTGACAAAGGAAAGAATGAAGGGAGAAAATGCAATTGCTAATTAGAATAAGTTTTGAAAATGACAAGTCACCCACCAAATAATCAGTAGGGACTAACGTGTCGAAATAAGGAAATAATACAAACATGTCTGATCCAATAAGGACACTTTTAATACAAGTGCCGAACTGTCTGGATCGTGTTCAAACAAATGATCGGTTAACATGTCAGTTTATGACTAAATGGGTTAAGCGGGTCAACCAGCATGAAGCATGATTTTTATAATATCATGACACGAACCCATTCATGTCCAACCCAAATTTGTTTAATTGTGTGTCATGCCGTATCGCGCAGATGAATCATTTCGAGAATTATGGACCTTAGGATGATGCAATGCAAATGTCACGAGGGGGCCCAAAAATTTGATCCCACCATTTTTGTCTCCCCTCATGTTTGTTCTCTTCCACAAAGAAAGCATAAAATAGTTATTTTGTCAACTTAGCCAACTAATCCGACCCAAAAAAAAGAATCTTAGTCAACTAAACTTGTGGATATAGTGAGGATGACGTTAAGAATTAATAGCTTCATATATGTATTGAGATGTACTACCTACACATATTTTCCTTTTTGTAGGTTAGTAATAATTGAAGTAAATTACCTAGACACTCTGCATATTATACCCAACGACCCTCTCTACTTGTATTGTTGCTCATCGTCTCTCCAGGTTCTCACTTGGAGCCCTTTGTCATATAATATGGACTGAAAGAAACAACTCTATCTTCCGAAACAAGAGTATTTTCATCCCTGGTATGCGCAATCATATGATCAAAGTGGTGAAGGATAAAGCTTCAACCCTTGGAAGAATTGCAGACACGCCATTGAATAGGAGATTACAAAGGAGTTGGGGGCTATCACCTTCCATTTTTTCTTAATTGGGCTGGTTTGGCCTTCCTTTGTATAGCTTTTCCTTGCTTCCTTTATCTGTTTGTGGTTGAGCTTTCCGTGTTCCCTTGGATTTGTATAGTCCCTTTGGAACTTGGTTAGTCTCTTGCTTTCCTTTGTATTTGGTGATTTGAAAGTAATATATACCTTACCCTTACCAAAAAAATAAAATAAATAAATAAATGGGTGAATTTAGTATGTCCGACCAATACTCTCTAACGTCCTTATTGAGTTTCGACGATTAATAATTAGGTATTTCGTTTAAATAAACATAAATCGAGACTAAGACAAAAAATGATGGGATAATAAATGCTTATGTGAATGTCTTGTTTATCATCACATTATGAACTAGTCCATGGTGGAACTTCTGATGTGTATTTTTCTCTTCTTCTTTTTTATTGGTACGTATATAACTGAAGAAAAGTTTTAATTTTATACAGCATGTCAAAGCGTGTACCAAATATGCATTCCAATTCAATTTTGGATGATTGATTTTGATTTGAGAAAAGTAATGCATAAAGGAGCGCGTATCATTTGTTTCGAAGCATAGTCCAAAACAAAATCTTTCACGAGCTGGTCAACGAAATGGAAATCGTGTTGCTATTAGGTATTATCTTGGATCGCGACCCTGGACACGAAGCTAAAGCTATCGTGTGAATGCTTACTTTTTACGATCTGTCGTTCTCAATCTCAAGATCCGCTACTCCTATAAACTGCAAGAGCCCAGTTTCTTAGATTAGGGCATACTGCAACCCCTCTTCTTGTTCTTCTTGTTCTTCTTCCTCCCTTTCTTTCTTCTTCTTCTTGAGGAAGCCATGGAGTCCCCTAAAAAGTCCAATAAGATCAGCGAAGTGGTTCGACTCTGGCAACTCCTCAAGAAGTGGAGAAACTTTGCAAACTCATCGAAAACCGCCATAAGTGCTGCTGCCACGAGCCCGAACTGCAGCGGCATTCACAAGAGCATCACCTTCCTCAAAAGAACGATCTCTTCTTTATCATCGGACGACAAAAAGGGCAGCAACAAAAAGCAGCACAGCAGCGGCAACAGCAACGCTGTCCCAAAAGGCTACCTTGCGGTCTGCATCGGCAAAGAGCTTGAGAGGTTTGTCATCCCGACGCACTACTTGGGCCACCCGGCGTTCAGGTTCTTGCTGCAAGAGGCCAAGGAGGAGTTCGGGTTTCAGCAGACGGGCGTCCTGAGAATCCCATGCGACGTTCTGGTGTTCCAAAGTGTTGTGAAGATGGTGGAGGGGAAGAAGAAGGCGGCTGTAAACAATGGTGGGTTGGTGGCGAAAGAACAGTGCAGGCTTGGTGCAAACGAGACGTGTGGAGGTCTCCTGTTGGACGGTGGTGAGATGGATCGTCGTCATCTTCATCACTCTCGTCATCATCCTTGGAGCCCTGTATGCAGATGAATCTGTCTTCCCCTCCGTGTTTTTGCTTAGGTCTTACATGTTTATACCAGAGATGTTGCTTCTTAAGAGATATATAGGCTATACTCTATATTCTATGTCAATAGATAGACAAATACAGAAAGCATGGAGAAGAAGGGGATGTAGTATTGACCTGTTTTGAAATGGAGATCTTGACCTTTTAAATTTGGAGATGCATCTTAAACTTGCTCCCACCAAGTATCTTGACTCATCCTAAAGTTAAATTAGTGCAAATTAAGTCACATGACCTTTTTAACCTATATTTCCAAAATAGAAAATGGCCCTGCATCTTCCCACCCTCCAAACTTAACACCCGAGATTGAAAAATTGATATGATTCAACCTACAAGCCATTTGATTGTAGCGAATAACAACGGGACTCGAGAATTAATGTGTATTAGAATCGCCTCTTCCAGCCTTTTCACCCAGCACCATCACCACACTCACCATTGTCATCGCTCGTATCTCACCGTCTCTCTCTCGAGTGATCTTGTAACAGAACCCACCCATTTTACGGCGCCAAACCTCTATGAGTAACCTTACATGATTATGATCATTTGAATGCAAATCTTTCTTACGAACATGAGGCCTCGCTCATCCCCCGCGAGACAAAATATGTCTAAAACTCTCCCACTTAAACTCCCACTTACAGCACCGATGTCTGAATGAGTGCGACCCTCACCGCCCAGGGATGTTCCCTTTATTTAATACGTGGTTCAGTTCACTCTTGTCCCCCTCCGCCGTCCTAAGAATTTGTCAAGAGCTAGACCTTATTTGAGCCTTCTTGCTCCGGCGATCACTTTTTGTAATTGCTTTGAAACCGGCACACCTAGCGGCTCGTGGGTCGATCAATTCAATCCATTTGTGCACTTTTCATTCCAATTAATTTGATTTATTAACTAAAATATCTTCCTAAGAAGCATCCATCGCGTAGCTGATGATGGTGGCCCTGTATTCACATTTTGGAGGTCAGGATGTCGATCCCATCATCTTACTTATGCAAGTTCACTTATTTAAATAATAAATAAGATAACTTGTAGATATTAAACAATAAAGAGATGTCCCCCCTGTGGAGAACGCACACTCTGTTCAAGTCTACATAGGATCCATCCTTGCTCGTGCAAGATTGACATTGTTTTTCTTATAATGTCTAAAGAACCGGTCAAATCGTTGTCCGTGGAACACCGAGTCAATCGGGCTCTCGCTGGATTTGAGCAGCTCTTGAAAATCCAGTTATTTCCCCAAAACCAGACCGAATCATTGTCCAGTTCTACCTTTTGAATCGGCTGGTTTGGTTCGGGTTTGAAAACACTGCTTTCCGCTCTCATCGGATTGGGTGTCCTGACCAAATCATGGACCTGTTCTACGGTTTGAACTAGCTAGTCCTGTCCAAATTTGAGAACACTACTTTCCGCTCTCATCGGGTCGGGTTTGGGCCAAGTCCCTAAAAAGAATATTCCGAATGTAACCACACAAGATGATGACCATTTAAAATGGATCCGATTTCAAAATAACATCACAATTCTCCACCCATCTGATGTAGAATTTGGGGTATCCATATCTCATTTATTAAATATTTCTGAAAAAAGAGAGAGAAGATTCAGTAAGCTTGTGAGTTTGTCAATTTACGAGCTCAAGCTCGATTCAACAAGATACTAAAGTAGCTCAAAAAATTGGCAAAAGGACACTATAAGTGTCATAACTTGTGTACGGCACTCACTTTAGTGCCAAAAGTTTTCGCCGGCTCACTTAAGTGTCAAATCGGAGGAAAAACGATTACTTAAGTGCCAAAAGTTTTTTTTGGATCACTTCAGTGCTAAAATTTTTGAAAAACGATCACTTAAGTGCCAATCTCCGACGAGCCACGTCAGCTTCAGAAATTAATAAAAAAAATGCCACGTCGGATTTCCTGCAAAAAAATGTGTACGGCACCGAAGTTGGCACTTAAATGATCGTTTTTCAAAAATTTTAGCACTAAAGTGATAAAAAAAAACTTATGATACCAAAGTGAGCTCCGTACATAACTTATGGCACTTGTAGTGTTCTTTTGCCTCAAAAAAATAGTCCCTGGATTTGCTAGCAACACATGCTGCAAAGTACATAAACAGGAACTGATGCCAAAGCGCGATAGAAAAATTGACTGAACAAGAAAATTCGACAGAAGAACAATTCGTCCTCCAAATATGATTATCAAATCAAAAATATCCAAGTCTGCTGAAAAGAAACCCTAAAACAAGTTTATATAACCCCAAACCAAGCCCTACTAGGATTAGGAAACATCAAAACGTAAAATTACGAAAATACCCTTTACTAAATTAACCCATAAAAAATACTAAAAAAATAGAAAAACCCATCTAAACAATCTCGAATCGCGAAAATCCATCGTTAGTCATAGCCAAAGGCATTGAGTATTGATCAGCACGTCGTTTCGCTTCAGCCGACCAAATTTGAGCTCAATCTGATATCGTTGACTTCAAACCCGCCGATTCGTCTAGTCGCATAACGAGTCCGCCGGTCCCCCTTAGGTGCATCATCCTCCCCTGCTAAAGAAAGATTCGTCCTCGAATCTGCTTCGCCTTCATTGTTGTCGTCAATCTCCTCAGGATCTTCTTCCTCTTCAGGGTAGTAAGGTGACAAATCTGCTACATTAAAAGTTTCGGATACATTTTACTTACCCGGCAATTCGATCTTGTAAGCATTGTCACTAATTTGCTCCAAAACTCTGAAAGGTCCATCAGCTCTAAGTTGAAGCTTGCCAAACCTACCCGCTGGAAATCGTTCCTTCCTAAGGTGAATCCAAACTAGATCACCTTCCTTGAAGACAACTCTTTTCCTGCGCATATCCACGCGTTGCTTATACTTCATGTTCTGCCTGTTGATCTGATTATGGACCTGGGAATGCAGCTCTTTGATATGCTTTGCATGTTCTTCAGCTTCCGAACTAAATTGCTTGAGAACTGGTATCGGTGTGAGATCTAAGGGAGTAATTGGATTACGCCCATAAACCACTTCAAAAGGAGTCTTGCCAGTAGTTCGGTTCTCTGACCTGTTATATGCAAATTCCGCCCGAGGCAATGCCAAGTCCCACTGTCGCGGATTATCTCCAATCAAACTCCGCAGCAAATTCCCTAAGCTTCGATTGACAACTTCTGTTTGACCATCAGTCTGAGGATGATGAGATGAACTAAACTTCAAACTTGTACCCATGTACCTCCAAAGAGTGCGCCAGAAGTGACTCACGAATTTCACATCACGATCTGAGGTAATGGACTTAGGAATTCCATGCAGCTTAACAATTTCCCGTAGAAATAATCGAGCAACCTGTGAAGCATCATAGGACTTGCTACACGGGACAAAGTGGGCCATCTTCAAGAATCTATCAACAACCACCATTATTGATTCCTTACTCCGTTGCATTCTTGGTAAACCCAAGACAAAGTCAAGACTGACATCCTCCCACGGCGCAACTGGAACAGGTAGAGGCATATACAATCCTGCATTAGTACTCTTGGTCTTTGCCACATGACATACCCTGCACCTCTCTATAAAACGTGTCACGTCACGCTCCATCCGAGGCCAATAAAAGTGTTCACTCAACAAGGCCTTCGTCTTATCCACGCCAAAGTGCCCAGCTAAACCGCCCGCATGTCCCTCAATAATAATAGATTCCCTCAAAGAACATTGAGGAATGCATAATCTGTTACCTTTAAATAGGTAACCCTTCACGATCTGAAATTGCTGAAAAGGCTCCGTTTTGCTCTTCCTCCAGATATCCCCAAAATGAGGATTATCAACATTTAAATCTTTAAAAGTGTCAAAGCCTAGAACTTTTACCTGCATCGTAGACAGCAAAGAGTGTTTTTTGCTCAATGCATCTGCCACACTATTTAGCACTCCTACCTTATGCTTGATGGAAAAACTGAAAACTTGAAGGAACTCCACCCACTTTGCATGCCTTGCATTCAATTTGTGTTGCCCATTGATATATTTCAAGGTTTCATGATCAGAAAATAAAATAAACTCTTTCAAAATAAGGTAGTGCCTCCAATGCTCCAAACTCCTCACAATAGCATAAAATTCTTTGTCATAAGTTGAATATTTCCTTTTCGCCTCATTCAACTTCTCACTAAAGAATGCCACAGGTTTACATTTTTGACTTAGGACACCCCCAATACCAACACCTGAAGCATCACAATGCACCTCAAAAATCTCATTAAAATCAGGAAGCACGAGAACAGGTGCTTCAGTCACCTTCTTCTTTAATAATTGAAAGGCAGCTTCTGCCTCCTTAGTCCACAAAAATTTACTTCCTTTCAGACAATCCGTCAGAGGTGCAATAATAGTACTGAAATCCCGAATAAATCTCCGATAAAAAGACGCAAGCCCATGAAAGCTACGTACCTCATGAATATTTTTCGGAATCTCCCAATTTGTAATAGCCTCATTCTTAGCTGGGTCCATATGAATGCCTTCCTTAGTTACTATATAGCCCAAAAAGGTCACACGATCAGTCAAGAAGTGACACTTCTTGGTATTAGCATATAATTTCTGTTCCCTCAATGTCTCGAACACCATTCTCAAATGCTGCAAGTGTTGATCAGTCGATACACTATAAACCAAAATATCATCGAAATATACGACGACAAACTAGCCAATAAAAGGACGAAACACCTTATTCATCAATCTCATAAAGGTGCTCGGTGCGTTAGACAACCCGAAAGGCATCACCATCCACTCATACAGACCATCTCGAGTTTTAAAAGCGGTCTTCCACTCATCTCCAGGACACACCCTAATCTGATGATATCCACTCCTCAAGTCTATCTTCGAAAAGATAGTCGCTCCATGCAGTTGATCAATTAAATCATCAAACCTCGGAATAGGAAAGCGATACCTGATCGTGATCTTGTTAACAGCTCTGCTGTCCACGCACATTCTCCACGACCCGTCCTTCTTAGGAACCAACAAAGCTGGCACTGCACAAGGGCTCATGCTCTCTCGAATTGCACCTTTTTCTAATAGTTCCTGCACTTGCCTCTGCATCTCCTCATGCTCCTTAGGATTCATTCTGTAAGCTGCCTTATTAGGAATAGTAGCTCCTGGAACGAGATCTATACAATGCTGAATGTCCC